GACACACAGCAGATGCTTCCCCAGGAAACAAATTCAGGAGTGTGGAGGGGTGTGTCTTTCGGTACCAGTTTGGCAATGAGATCAGAGCCCTAAGGCACATCGAAGTGCTGGGCAGGCGCCACTTGACTCTCTGTCAGGCTCTAAGGACCTGCTTCTCCTAATGAAATAAGCCATCAACTGACAGATCCATAAGCATTCAAAGTTGTACTCTGAGTTCATGCATGAGCTTGAGGAATAAAATGACCAAACTGGCTTGTTTTGAGACGGACGGACTGGGAGCTGATTGCCCCAGCCTGAAAGCCAGTCAGTCTCTCTAGAGACTTGTTCCACAGGTTTGGCAAACCTGGGCGATTCCCCACCTGTCTGACACTCTCGGGATCTAAAATACAATAAGCATCAGCCTGCAACCTGCCAGTGCTCCAAAGCTGAACTTTCAGAAACACTTGTGTCCCATTTCTACCTACAGATTAGGTAGGTAACGTTTACGTAACAGGTTTTGTTGATTTTCACTCCCACTGGTACATAATTCAAACAGAATCTCCCGGGAAAGGATTTCAGCGAGGATGGGAATCCCTTCCTTTGCCCCTCCATCTCACAGTCCGTCTGGTACAACGTCCGTAACCTGCACTCCTTGGTGATGTTAGCAGGTTGATTTCTGTGTCGACAATTGGCATTGCATGTCCTTGACTCTCGGGGGAAGAACTGAGGAAATGAATCTCCCAGGCACCAGCTTTCCTCTCTGATTTATATAAAGGGAACAGCTTTGGAGCTCCTTTAGGGCTGGGATGGAATCTCACTGACTATTGTATCCCCAAGGCTTGGCAGAGTGCCTGCCTCAAAGGAGGCACCAAAGAAACTGTTGTTAAACACCTGAGGTTATTATGCACCTGGACCTCAGCATTGGTGGCTGGTCTACATCCTGAGAGCTGTTTATTTGAATCAACATCTTCCCATTCGAACTGAGAACCACTAATTGGATGGTGTTGGTGGAACCGACTTTAAAGACCAGCTTGGGACAGGCAGAGGCTGTACCACGTGTCCTGAAGAGGATGGATTTTTCACTCCTGCTCTCCAGCTCTGAGCCGTTGTGGGCACGTGGTAAATATTAATGAATGAGACAGGAGCTATATTGAGAGGCTGCTGGGAGTCGGGGACATGGTAAAGGCTTTAACAGTGCTCTCCTGAGGGCAGGCAGACTCTGACCTGGCAAAGAACCTGGTTCAGCCAGCCTGCAGGATGGAGCCTTCATACTGCCCACGCAGCCTGGGCAGCCCAGTCAACAGCCAGTCAGTGTGTGCTCTGGGCAAAGCACCTTTCAGGCAGTGGAGAGGACACAGAGGGGACTCACGCTGCAGGCAACATAGAGCCTGGGCTCTGGAGTCTTAGTGTGTGGCTTTCAGCTCTAAACCAGCCCAGCCAGCCTCAGATTTTTCATCTGTACACTGGAGATGAATATAGCACCTACCCCATGATTTGTGAAAAGTAAATGACATGAGGTAAGCAAACAGTTTAGCACAAAGAGGGGTGGG